GGAGAACATGTGATTGTTGGCCTTCTGAGCCTGGCTAACTTCGCTTAAGATGATGTTCTCCAGTTCCATTTACTTGTGAATGACAAAATTTCATTCTTCCTTGTGGCTGAATAAAATTCCATTGTGTATAAATAGATTTTCTTAATCCATTCTTCTTTTTTGCGGTACTGGGGCTTGAACTCAGGGCCCTCACCTTGAGCCACTCCAGCAGCCCAGTTTTTTGTGATAGGATTTTTTGAGATAGGGTCTTGCAAACTATTTGCCTGGGCTGTCTTCAAACTGTGATACTCCTGATCTCTACCTCCTGAGTAGCTAGGATTACAGACGTGAGTCACTGGTGCCTGGCTGTTAGTCTCCTTTTTTTATACACCCCACAACTCATCTCATCTAAGTGGAATTGAGCTTTGGCAGGTAACCAATTGTCAAAGAACCAATTTAGCATGGCCTTGGATTTGGTGTTGTCTAGTTTTGTGACAGTTTTGCTATTGACATCTTCTCCCTGTGTTCCAGGTATGTGAGTTTCCTGATCTTTTTTGGATTTTTTTACAGAAAGTTTGATGTTACATGCTAAAATTTCTTGATAAAGGATAGTGTTAAGGTTTCTGAACTGGGATACAGTTTTACATAAAAACAAATTCCTTTTTCTCTTTTCTCAGGAAATGTTCTTGATGCAAACAATAGGGACAAGAACTGACTACAGATTTCCTATCACTGCCAAGAGTAAATCAGGCCATAGTTACGTGCCCTTGGGGGAGGGGGAGGCATGACACACCTGCACAAATCCTTTATTAAAGCAACAATCAAAATACAGGATGGATCATGTGGTTTTTGTTTTTTTGTTACAGTAATATCAACTTATAATGAGTCATCTGTTTACATCTTTAAATTATGAACATTAAGAAGTGAACATTTTATAGTTTGCAAAATCACCAGATAAACATTTCTGCTCAAGTACATTTTCATTTAAAATTTCCAATTTAACAAAGGACATTTAGAACTACTATAGTAAACCAAAGGTAGGTGCAAATATCTTCTTTGACTCTAACTTACTGTTCATGGTTCTGTGGTGTCTGAAAGATACATTTGGAGGCTTTTATTACTAGTTAAACAAAAATCATTTATGCCAGAATATTCTTAGAACTTCTCATTCTATTTTTACATTCTCTAGCTTTAATTTTGATTGCAGTATTCTTAGCTTTAGCCTCTTTATAAATTCCACCTCTGAAAAACCTCATTTAAAGATCGTCCTCATCTTCACATATTTTCTTATATAACAATTAAATGCTCAGTCCTTTGGAAAATATAAGCTATTTTGTTCTGTTTATTTTCCCCACAAATGATTTGTTTAATCCAAATCTGTTACTCACTGAAGAAGCCATAAAATGAACTTTGTTATTTACTTGAAGGGTTTTTCAATGCCTAGGTGAATGTAAAACTGACCAATATCTTGAAGATAACAGGCACTCAAAATATGTGTATGAATATACAATGAGATTTGGTCGATATTCAAAGAGTACCAATAAGTTAGCTTAAAAAGCAAGACTAGAAACAGGAAGTATGTAAGGGACTGCAAAAAGGATATGTGAAGATAGGTAGTGGATATTACTTGAACTGTGCTGAAAAAATAGATTATTTGAAATAAAAGTTAATGCTCCATTTCCTACTGAATGAAAATACTGAAAGGAAATCCCCAGTTTACAGAAGCATAGGGATTATCATTTAAGAATTCTAGCACTGATGCAACTTCATATTTCAAATCACACAACAAAAGGTGACTGATTTTTTTTTTTTCTAAAATATTTCTTCCAGTGCTGGACTGGTTGGTGTTCCCATAGTCAAGCCAATTTGTGTTCTTACATTTACATGTGGAGTGTACCTGTTCAAAATATGCAAATATTCTTTGTGCCTTACATTTTCTTCATGTGCTACAGAGCTGAGCAGATTACTGTGGAAAACAACCCAAGTATTAGATTTAAAACATGCTATCAGTCTATTAAAACAATTCATATAGCTATAGTTAAAACTCAGTCTTCTCATCAAGTTCCTTTCTTGTTATCTTACATTTGCCCCTCAAAAGGAAGTTTTAATAACATAGACTTGTGCAATTAAAGATGAAACAAATGACAAAAAAAAAAAAAAAAGATAAAAGGAAGGAATTCCAGAATCCATTGTGTGGGATGTCAGGCCTGGGAGCATTAGTGTGAAAAAGGAATGCTCAAAACATCCAAGACATTCGATGTAATGACATGACACAGTAGTGCATGGAATAAGTGAGAACATTCAGATATTTCTAGAGTGATTTATACAAGGCATGTACCACATATATCACATTTGGTTCCTAGAGATTTTAGTCAAGTATTAGTATTACTTTTGCCAAGTATGATGTACAAAAAGATGAGAATAGCAGATGTTCCCTACAAATATGAAAATATAGTATATAAAACAAAACCATTATAAATTACATAGATTTTCCATAAAAAATTTTTTCCCACTTAGAATAAATACCATCCAAGTTTATAGATCACCTAAGAGAATTAAATACGCATACACACGGGAATCAATTTCAGAATTTCAAGGAAAAAATGCTAGATATGACCAGGATGACTCAGAAACAAGAGATTTTTTTGTTTCGTTCTTAGCGCTTCTGGTGTTTGAACTCAGGGCCTTGTGCTGGCTAGGCAAGCACTCTACCACTTGAGCTATGTCTCCAGTTCCCAGAAATTGTTTGATTTTAAGAATGATTACCTCACCCCAAAGGACATGGCTTAGTATTTAGTGTTAAACTGTTAAAACTGCCCTCATGAGTCCAATGTAGATGTGTGTACACACATGCTTACCTGCACTCCTATAAATTTCTAAGAAGCTGAACAGTTTTTGCTTTATTTTTGAAAAAATCAGATAAAATTTATGATGTCTTCTGCACTTCACCTTCTAGCAAGAGGGCCTCTCTTGTTTCTTAAAGATGCTGTAGTATGGATAGGAAGAGTGCAGAATTTCTGGGAGGGGAAATTCCCATTGTAAGCCAAGTTCCCTGTAGGTTGGCTATTGTTATATTGAGAGCATTTTGAGGCCTTAAAGAGGGAGAAAGTCTTGAAAATCTATGCAATATGTGTCCCACTGGAGCTGAAAGAAGCAAAACCAATCCAGAAATATTCTTTGGTCATGTATTTCAGCTCTTGATTCATAAAAAATCTGTCCAATTTTAGCTTATTATCCCTAATCAGTACCTGCACAGAATGGACCCCTTCCCCTGTAGTTTCCATGTGGAAATCTGCACATGGGTTTGGGTGGAATGAGAACTGAATAGAAGGGGGAAAAATTCACAAAATACCATAAAATGCTCATTTAAGTCCCTGTTGTTGTTTTAGTTGTATAAATCAAAGGTAAGAATTGGTAACCTACATGACAACTGGAAAAGTTTTATATTCTAAGAGCTGGAGTTAAAAAATCTGCAACCTAGCTACATAAAACACTCATGCAGAGAGTCCAAACAGGAGTCATGGTTTTTATTGACTGCTCACTACTAATTTCTTTAGGTGACCTCCCCCACTCCAGACACTTCTAACTAGATGTCAATGGTTAATTCTTTTAAGGGGTATCTGGTCAAATCCATTGTCTTCTAAAATTGTCTTTCATGTCAATTACCTATAAATAAACCTACAAAGGCCACTTCTAAACCCAAGCCTATTAATTATAGAGTCAGGTACATTTGTTGTAAAGTTTGGATCACAGAAGCATATAGTCTCATGTATGCTTGTGTTATACAATGGGGGCTTCCAGGGTTTCAAACTTCCCAAAAAACTATAAATGTTAGAATCTGAAGGGATTTTATCGATCATTGAGTATTTTACAGATGAAAAAGATTAAACTCCAAGAAGGGAGTTGTTCAAGATCACTTTGAGTGAAGACTCAACCAATATATTTGTCTGATCTCTCATTATCAACATGACCCATGTAACCTCTGACAACATAACCCCATGACACTTATCACACTTGATGTGGCCATGACCCTTGCAACTACCTGAAGGTTATGGTCTTCCTTGTTTGCAAGTGAAAATGAAACACCACCACTTGTTCTTACTACGATTAAATCTAAATTGTTGAGGTGGTCTTGATTTTGGTGGAGGGGGAGAATTTCACAATTTATTTAAATTGCTATGCTTTTTTTTTTTTCAAAACTCACGGTCTTTGAGTAATTAACACAGCATAAAAATATTTTGGGAACCTAGAGATAAAAGCAAAAGTCTTTAAAGTAACTGTGATAAGCAGAAATGTTAATATTGGCTTGGTTTCTGAGAGAGTGAGACATTTTAAATGGTGCTTAGAGCCCAAACAGTCTGCCCCTGTTATAGAAAGAGAAACGGAGGCTCAGACTTGCCGAAAGCCAGACAGCTGGTTATTGGCACAGTCAGGTAAGTATTAACTCTCTGGTGACAAGTTTTGTCTTCTTTCTATAACATTATGCTGCCTGGTATATACTGTCTTTTTTGTGTGTGTGGAGCTGACTAATAATACAATAATTTTGGCATAAAGCTTTGGCATGGTTCTCTACGCCATTACCATTTAAAGGACCAAGAAGCAAGTTATGCAGTTTACAAAGGTGGACCTGGTTATGCACTTCCAAATCCTTATACTTGCTGCCCTAAGTCAAGTGATTTAGTTACGGACATCATGTAGTCCCTGCAAACATTCCTGGGAAGCTGACATTCTAAAACCTGCAGGAAGTCATTAGATGTCTTTGTCTTTAGAAGCAATGAAATTTCCAGGTAAAGAATCAGTTTGTTTGGAGGATGTTACTTAAATGTAAACAGTAGTTTTCAGTAGTGTGGAAATATTGAACCATTAACAATTGTTCTCCACACCTCGGCTGAGTTTACCAAAAGGCTCTTAGAATTGGACAAGTAAACACATTTTTATTTGACTATTAAAGTGCTATTTTGTGGTAAAGTTTTTCTCAGTTTTGCAACAGCAGCTTCATTAGAAACTTTTTTAAAGCAATGTATGAAAACAGACCTGGGGAATGAAAGTGAAACAAAACAAAAACAATGAGCCAAGAAAACTACTTTGGAACATTACAAATGACTTGTAGATATCAGCCTTGGAACTAGTGACTGATACCAAAGCCTCTGAGGTAAATGTTCTAGGGAAAAATAAGGACAAAAGTAGCAAAGAGGACTAATTCAGAAAAAGCAATTAGTATTAATAACAATTATTCCACTATAAAGGAACAGTGAAAGTAATTAAAACTGAGAAGAAAGTGCAACAAACCCATGTACGTGCATTTGCTATTGTAGCAGACCTATAATTCTTAAAAGGAAAAGCAATGCAGTGTGCATTGGACAGGGCTCTTGAACTCAGATACCTTACAGCAGTGTACTCTTTGCCAAAAGGGCATTGCCAATTAAGGGATTTGGCAGAGAACGGCCTCTAAAATTCAAATCACATGGACAGATATCTTCTGTCTGATATTATCAGTTCTGCACCCTCATGTTTCTCGCATCCTTTTCTACTGGGGAGATTCCAGTCCCAAAAACTGCATGTAGATGTTTCCCCTTTTAAAATGGTATCAGTTGTACCTAAGGGATGAGAGTCTCCTGGTAAGGCTTAGCGGCAAGTGCGTACTACATCTGTGTTACAAGGAGCAGCCCCTGATTTTTCTTGATATGCATAGCTTTTCGGAGTTGATATTAGACATGGCTTTCATAGATAATGCAGGTGTTTTTGTCATGTGTCACTGCTGGCTCTGTCGTTTCCAGGTGAGCTGGTGGCAGTCCTCGATCTGATGCCTCCACAGGTGTCGGCTCTTCAGATGTTAGCTCGGTAGATGTCACATCTGTCGAAGGCTCTCCGGTCTCCGGTGAATGTTCACCCGATGGTTCTGTCTCCTCTTCATCTTTGACCTCAAATTGTACACCATCTTGGTCATCCCCATGATCTTTTTGGGACTGGGGGTGAACAGACACCTTGATGGCAATCTGCTGAGGCTGTTCATGCAGCGAGGAGCCATCCGAGTCGGCAGTGGGAGAGTCACTTCGCGTCAGAGAGTTGGGGATGGTGTACACCTCATCCCTGTCTGTGGCCTCCTGGCCTTCTGGGGTATGCCTCACAAAATTCTGCCCCTGCTCCTCCATCCCAACCACTTCCATGATCTCCTCCATAATAGTCCTGCAATTCATGATGAGAGGAGGCAGAGGGACGCTCCTGGCGAGCTCTTCGATGTAACGGGCAAATTCCATGGTTTTGAACTGGGTCACTTTGGCAAGCTCTAGAGTTTTGGCTGAGGTGATGATGGGGATCCGCTTGGCAATCTCGAATGCCTTTTGCAGCTTCTCTGCGCCTTCTGTCCTAAAGAACTCGTTGATGGCTTTTTCGGTCTTCTTCAGGTGGCTGTTCATCATGCACAGCCGGGCGATGTTGAGAACCATGACAATGGTGAAGGCCACGAGGCAGACAACCATGTAGTAAACGCCCATGTCTCCAGAGGTGAAGATGACTCTTAGGGTCACTGTGTTGTTCACACTGCCGTACATGTTAGAAGCCACACATGTGTATTTACCTCGGTCTGAGAAAGATACCTTGGTGATGTTCAGGAGGCCACCATCAATCATTTGCCATTTTCCTGTTGGAAGGGAGAGCAGAGAATTCAACCAAGGAAATACTGTCCCCAGGACTACAAACATACACATTTCTAAAAACATCTCTGACTAGTAACAATAGCAATGGACATTTCCCTAATGCCCTTCCCTTGTGCCTGTGACATGTATTTTAATTCATTTAATCTCTGTAACACTGTGAGGTAGTACTGATCCTGGCCTCATTTTACAAGATGAAGAAACTGAGGCACAGTTGAACAATTTTCTCAAGGCCACCTGTTTGTAAGTAGTAAAACTAGAAGATGAACTTATACTCATGAAGCTATGTTCTTTTTTCTGTATATTATTTATTTATTTATTTAGTGTGTGGTGACAGGGCTCAAACCCAGGGCTTCACACATGCTAGGCAAGTGCTCTACCATTAAACTGCACCCCTAGCCACAGTCTAGATTCTTAACCATCAAATTCTATTGTGCAACTGACTCCACATGTCAGTTGAAAATGAGAGAAATAATGTGGAAACACTGTTTTTATGAAAGAATGCCTTAACCGTAGAACTTGGGAGCTTTTAGGAACAGGCATCTGATTTTGTAGCCTGTCTATGAGCATGAGTCTACTGAACACATGTTCACTGGGGAGTTTAATGACTCTCAGAATAGAAAGCAGTATTTATTTAGTTTTTCCAAACAGGGCCTTGCTATGAAGCCCAGGCTGTCTCAAACTCACGAGTGTCCCGCCTCAGTCTCCCAGGGGCTGGGGTGTATACCACACCTGGTTAACATTTTAGGTTGAACATAAAATTTGGAGCAAATCAACGAAATTTTAACAGTTTACCTGCACTTCTCATAGTTGAGACTCATACTATCCTTCTGTGACTTCAGTTAACTAAACATAGTTTATGTCATTAATTTTGAGAATCTACAATGAATTGTCTATGCCACCTAAAATTACAAGCTGACAATGTGAAGGCTCAGAGGCTGGATAAGAATATCAATTTGTTTTACCCCTGCAAATAAATTAGGCCCATCAAGATGAAAGGAAGCCTGACACCTAGGAGAATGTGCTTTTATAAATATGATTCTTCTTTGGCTACTTCCTGTGAGGTATCTTCCATTGTCCTAGGAATGAGGCTCTGAGTCCAGTGAGGCTCAAGATTAACTCTTAGCCTGTCTATCTGCAGCTCAGGAGATTCCTGTGAAGCCCAGTACTAGGTTTGGTTTCAGGGTGTAGGGTTTGAGTCAGAAATGAAAACTTAACTACCTCCCTAGATTATCCCTCAAAGAGCAAGGAGGCTCCAGGCTGGACCTCTTGGGAGTTCTAAGGAGAGAAGCAGGCAGGTATTCTTCCATAAAAGCTCCTTCATTCCCTGAGCCAACCAGAGGGACTTCTGAGAGCTGGGACGACTTAACACAGAGTTTTCTTTTAAATAGCTATTACTGCAATGCATTTTAACTTGTTTCTTCCCCTGATGGTGGTGACTTTTACTTCTAATTAAAAGCTTGATGTTTCACCAAATTGGCATTAAAAAGAAATCTCAAGAGCACACAAGTAACCAGGTCCCGATGGACTCCAGAATGAAGAGACAGAGGTCCTGCTTCACTCCATTGTCCTCTGTGCCAAAGAACATTTTTAAAGAGGCTAGATGGAGCAATGCAGTGCCTTCCTGGGCTACAGCTCCTCCCACTTGCTGGCTGTGGTGGATTTGGTGGGAGGCCTCCCAGTTGATGCTTTCACACTACTTTGCTTCTGAAAGAACATCTGTGAAGAGTGGTTCTTATGTCCCTGAGTAACCTTTTTTCTAACAACTCAGCTAGTGTATTCCCCTCAAGAGTAGAAATGCTGATTTGGAAAGTCTAGTGATTTTTCAGTGTCTTATAAGTGAGTTTGAACAGACAAAACTGGCTCCATTCAGGTGGGCATGGAAAAGCCTCCTACTGCTTCTATTTCCTGTGATGAATTTTAATCCTTCAGCAGATTTATGTGAACATACAATGGCCTGAGGTCAGGGAAACTGCTTTATCAATTAATTTTCTTATGATGTGCACATTTCATGAAATAGTCTACAGCAGGTAAATATATATATATATATATATATATATATATATATATATATACACACACATACATACAGATAGATAGATAGATCTAGATCTAGATATATATGCCCAAGTTGATGGAAACTTACTCTATCTAGCAGGTATTGGAGTTCAGAGACTTAACAACCAGACTTGCACAAGTTTCTCACATTTCCTTTCTTTCTTTTGTTGGAAAACACAGGAGAAAACAGGATGGAGGAGGGTGAGAAGGTGAAGTTATTTGTTTGGGGAATGATTAAGATCAATTTGAGTACCTCCTCCCCAACCCCACCCCTTAAATGGAGAAATTATCTGTAAATGCAAGGACAGAACACTATGCACTTGACCACTGAAGAAGAAAAGCAGAAGTGATAGTAAACTGAGGGGGCATCTGATGGAAATATAACAGCTTTCTCCTTACACCTGAGTGACAATTTTAGTGGTAACTGTATCTAATTATTAAGAATAAAATGCAAAAAATACATACTAGTTAAGAAGGTATACATGCTTTCCTCTACTGAATATTTTTAAATGTTTCTAAACTTGACCTCTCTACTTATTTTCAAACATGCTTTTAATTGCCTACTGACCTCTATTTATCTAACCTGGAATGAAGCAGTTAAATTCAGATAAGTTGTAGGCTAACATCTCTTAGATACTTTCTCTATCCCTTAATTTCATCTGTTCTTCGAGTCTGAAGCCCAGCCATCTATCTGTGAAGTGAGTGTTTTGACTTAACTGTTTAAGCCTGTTATGATCCTCAAACAGCTGGATTATTACCAGCACCATAGTTAAATGAGAATCACAGTGTCTGCCTGCAACTTCCACCTCCCATCTAGGAAGAGGATATCAAAACGTCTCAGTCCTGTACCAAATCCTCTTGAAACAAACATCATATTTATTTTATGGATTAAGGTAATATTAATGCCACTTAGAATTCTGCTCACATGTGATACAGTGACCTGGATAAATATTCTAAGCCCACCAAGCAACTCCAAGTCTTTGGGAACCAATATACGCACACACTTCCCGGAACTGTCGGAAGGACTAGGGTGCTGATCTTCTGAACTTAAAGATTATGCATGTCCACCCTCTCTCAAGTTGGACACATGCAGTCATTTCTGGGAACTAAGGCAAATAATACCTCCTCTCAACTTCAGTTTTCCCTTCGATCATGACAAGTAGATTTCTGCATATTTTACTACCACACAGACCTCCGAAAACTAGGAAAATGGCACAAATTCTGTTTTGGGGTCTTTCCCCATCAGCTTGGGCTGGGCTCAGGAAGAATCTCCACGCAGTTCCTGCCCAGCTGGGTCCATCTTGAGCACATCCTTTGTGCTGCACAGTTCCATTCACCTCAGTCTATAAGTACCTGGCCTGAGACTCGCTCTGAAAGGGTCTGTCATTGGCTGCCAAAAACCGAAAGACATAAAAATACCCACAGAGACTGTCGCCAGAAATCTTTAGTATACATATTGCGGTTCCTGGGTGGTTTAAACTGTAGCTGAGTGGGAAGTCAGAGGTAGGCACTGAATTTTTAGAAGTTGTATTACTTTAGTGCAAATAAAAACCTGAAGTGTCAGTGGTTGATGCCAAGTCAGTTCTACACGAAATGATTTTGGAGGCAATAAAAGAGGCAGATATTTACCTATTACCTTCTGAAGCATTACCTACTGAATATGATACAAAAAACCTGATGCAAAGCAATTTCCCTAGCACTCTTCACTCTTCCTTCTTCACTTCTAGTGCATTGCTCAGATTGTAGGCCCCTCCCTTCCCTACTTCCATCTCCCTTCTTCCTTGGCTGACTTGTAAGGTGACACACATTGGAGGCATTAGGCTAAAATACTAACACATGCATTTCTGTAAGACTGGAGGTGGCTCAGGAATCTGTCACAGTCTTCTCCCCAGAAACTCCAAGCATGAGTCATACGTGAACAACTCCCACATGTGACTGCCAGTGTATGGTGGCAATCTCCCCTTTTCAAAGAGACAGGCTAACAGATGTTGTTGTGTCTGAGCTGTTCTGCAGAGTGTGTCTGCTGCTGCACAACAGAGCTGACATTTTTAGAAGGGCAGCGATCTTTTTTATCTTGTTCACTCATTCAGTCAATGGACATCACTGAACAAATTGTGTTCCAGGCTCCGCGCTAGATGGTAAGAATACAAAGATGAGTAAGACACAATTCCTGACTGCAAAAACCATCCAGTCCCCACAGGAAAGCAGACTCCAACAGACAGCTCTAGTTCCCAGTGCCAAGTGCAGTGGCACAGTGGGAGGGGTGAGGGAGGGGACAGGGATTCATGGACGGGGCTGGCCATGTAGGGGACAGTGCAGGTGGGAAGAGGAATGGAAGTATAGGGAAGGGTCTCTTGGGAGTCAGAGGGGGATAGTAGAGGCAGGGAGCTCATGAGCAAAAGAGGGAACACAGTTTGAGCTGCCAGAACTGACAAACCATGTATAAAACCAAGCAGGACTTGGACGGAGACAAGGCTTGTGAGGAATGCAGGGCTAGACTACAAGAGGACTAACAGCATGCAAAGGCTTAATGTTTACTCTGAGGGAAAACAGGAGCCTCCCTTGCTTTTTGCATCTTATTTTTCCTGACTTTTCCCAGATACACTTGCCTTATTTCAGGTCTTAGAGGGGCCTTAGGACCTCTTCCTACCTCTCATCTATCTGGAATGCTCTTCTTCTTCCCGTTCCCTGAATGCCCTGCCTTACAACATTCTCAGTCAGTTTAGACCCCACCCTTGCATCTCACCTCATGCCCTAAGAAAGCATTCTCTGATCTCTGATTAAGTCAGAAGAGAAAACCTGAAAGTCTAGAAGAAGCTAAAGCTAACTATAGAAATTTTAAAAATGAGGATGATAGCATTTCACATCAGTAGGGAAAAACTGTTAGGATAAGTGACTAATCACTTGAAAAAAAGGAAAGGAAATCCCT